TTCTATCTCTTTCTATCTCTCATCATCTTTTAAAATTTATTTATTAGTTGTATAAGGAAATTTAATTTTTTTTTTTGATTAATAAATAATAATAATTATCATAACGTATGACTTCATTAATTTTTTTCTTATTTTACGCACGCACACGCATGCACACGCATTTCACGCACTTTTTCGTCTATAATTTTTTTTTTTTTTAATAAAAAATAAAATGAGTAGTAAAGTAAGTAAATAAAAAAGAAAGAGAGAAAGAAAGAAATTAGGTGCTGAGAACAAATAACGAATCGAGTTCATAGCAAACAATAAAATCTAAATGACCCTCCAAAATATCCAAGGAAAATGATGAAAATGCAATCAAATACGTTCTAATCTGGTGGGCAAATTAGTCAGGGTCCCACGCAAGTCATCTGACAAAAAAAAATGAGAGAGAGGGGCAGACCCTTCCTTCAATCATTTCACTATTTGTTGTTGTCTGATCCTTAGTCGCCCTTATTATTACTCAATCGTTAATCCCACGATAATCGCTATTTAATTAACTCTATTTTTCAAATTAAATCTTTCATATATTTATATGCGTGCGTGTGTGCGTGTACGCGTGTGCGTGTGCGTGTGTTTTCTTTCCTTTTCCTTAATTCATCTCCCCCACACTCTCTCTCTTAATTTTTACGTGATTAATTATTTTATTTTTTTTTTTGCTTTTGTGATTTAATGAAACCGTTTTTACCCCGCCAATTAATTTATTACGGTAATTAATTAATTAATAAATAAATTATTAATTATTATTATCGTAGAAATTAATTTTTTTCATCGTAACGTAAATTAAAATAATTTTTTATTAAAAATGATGATCGTTTTCGTTGTTTGTTGAACCTCTCTTATTACCCCAGTAATTCATATATTAATCCTATTTTTTGATTTTCTTACTTGAAAAGAGTAACAAACAAAACAATAATAATGATAATAATAATAATAATAATAAAAATAGATTTTACTCAAGTTACTATTATTAGCTTAAAATAATCCTTTTTATTAAAAGCCAAAGTTTTTAATCTCTAATTCTCTTTTCTCTCAATTAAAATCCGTACGCAACAACAATCGATTGTTGTTGTTTAAATAAATAATTGTCGAACAAACAATAAATTTTCCAATATTAATTAATAATAATAATAATAATAATAATAACAAATATAATTTAAGGATTATTATTTAGTAAATTCGTTTCGATATTATTATCATCCTTATTACTAAGATTATTATAGATTCGTTAAGAAAAAAAAAAGGAAGAAAAAAAAGCGCCAGATGCGTAATAATAATAATAATGATAATGATGATAATTACGATATATGAAAGGTATTAAAACATTTGCAAAAAGAAAAAAAATGACACGGATTGACACGAAAAAAAAAAATTTTTTTTTTAAGAAACATTTTGGAAAATGAAAAGAGACGATGCGTAAAAGAGGATTTTCATACCTTTATATTAAATTAAAACTCTTTTACCTGTATTAATAACACGTATGTGCGTATGTGCGTGTGTGCGTGCGTGAGTAAGAGAAAATATATATGTACCGATCGCAAAAGATTTTGGTTATGGTTTTTTTTTTTGGTACGACACCCTTGTCGGTACAACTTTTGTCAATAATAATAATAATGGTTGTACCGATTGTATATTTATTAAAGAATTTTCGTTTTTACTAATGGACCCCAAAAAAAATACATGTATGGATATTATTTTGGTAGATTGCATTTTCACTTAAACTAACACGCCGATTAAAATAGACGTTTCTAGAAAAAAAAATTTTTTCTACTCCTTTTTAAATCTTTTTAAAAAAAAAAAAAAAAAAACGTCACGAATTGTCAATAGGGGTTAATTAAACTCGCGCGTTTTTTTTTTATTTAAATTTTTTCAACATTTTGGTATAAAAGGCGGTGGAAATGGCGGTTGTTGTTGTTGTTGTTGTAAACACGGCGGATATAAATCGATGGTAACGAGAGAGAGAGAGAGAGTAATAATAATAATAAAATCATTTAATTGTTAAATTTGTCAATAATAACCACCCGAAAACGTTTTTAACAAGGAAAAGAGAGAGAGAGAGAGGGGGGCAGGGCCAGGGGCAGGGGCACGGGGGGCCATTAAGAAATTTGTTTAGAAAAAAATTTCAAATCAACTGAAAGTAATAAATATTATTCGTGAATAATCTTTCGCATTCAATATGTTCATAAATCCAACGCATAAGTAGTCCAATTTCACTAATCTACACACGGTATCATTTTATTATAAAATATTTTTTTTTAGTATAAAAAGGAAATAACCGACTCGTTTCCGGTTCCGTTCGAATCGAATGGGCAAATACAAAATTATAAACATTTATTATTATTATTATTATTAAGGCAACAAAATAACCTCATGGATCGGTCGGTAAAAATGTCGGTCGTATCAATTAAAAAAAATCAAATCGTGGAGCTAGAAAATTTTCTCTTCGGTTATTATTATTATTATTATTAATAAATAGTTTAAAGAGTTTTTGTTAGTTCGATATTACACTAAAAAAAAAATTAAACGTAACAGGGTGACACCACCTGGTCGAAGCCGACACAGGGGTCAAAATCATGTTTTGCCAGACCCCCCATGGACCGCTTCTCAGCAACACGCCGAACAAAGAACTTCTTAACAATATTCTTGTTTATTATTGGTTTTCGAATACCACGGAAACTAAAATTGATACTACTAATACTGCTACCACTACTACTACCACTACCACCCCTACTGCTACTGCCACTGCTCCACTTGAAAGAAAAAAGTAACAGTCAATGTGATAAATAACAAGGTTCGAATATCATAAACTCTCTTTTAGTTTTCATACATTCATCCCACGACAACCTTATTATTATTATTATTTCTTTCTTTTCTTATGTTTGTTTGTATTTTTTTTTACCTTCCATGAACTCATTTTCTATTTCATTAATTCCGTTCAACTAAATTTGTCGGTTTTTACAAAAAAAAAAGGAAAATGAAAAAAAGATGAATAATAATAATAATGATAAATGATGAAAATAAAAATAAATAAACCGCGAAAAAAAGAGGTTCATCATGTTTTCTAAAATTTATTTTTTTTGTAAACAGATACGATTGTAATGTTTCCGTTTTTTGTGAGAATGAATACGATGATGATGATGATGATGATGATGATGATGATGATGATGATGATGATGATGATAATAATAATAATAATAATTGTAACAATTTTTTTTTTTTTCAATGGCGAATAAAACGATGTGCGATACTTTTGTCAGGTGTGCCTATGTGTATGCATACCCGTAACACAATAAATTTTATACATACATATAATTTATTATTATTATTATTATTATTTGTACTATCTAAGATATTTTCCCGTATCTTCTCTCTCTCTCTCTCTCTCTCTCTCTCTTTGTGAAATTAAATAAAAATAAAATAAAAACTCACGCGTAATTACGCTGCGTTTTTTTTTTTCGCCACGTCAATCGAATTTATTTACTTACTTATTATTATTATTATTATTATTTATTACGGGGATTAAGCGAGGGAAGGAACGGGGTGGAAAGAGGGAGGGGTTAGGGGTTGGGGAATGGGGGATGAGGTGGAAATGAATTATTATTATTTTTTTTTATTGTTTAAAAAGTCGTGTAATTTTTTCTTTTTTCATTGTAACCCCTCCGCGCTCCTCTTTCCTTCCCTCACCCGCCTGCCCGCCCCCCGCCGGTGCGGTTGATCTCTCTCTCTCTCTCTCTCTCTCTCTCTCTCTCTCTTTCTCTCTAGTAGGTTTTAAATGGGAAAAATATAGCCGGGGGTTTATTCATTAAAGCAAATGTTGAATATGAAACTAACTCAATTTTGTGTTGATTTTATGCTAAAGAGAATAATAATAATAATAATAATAATAATAATGATAATAGTAATAATAATGATAATTTTAGAATCCAATAACTGGAATAAGTTGTCATTCGCATGCCCCTCGGTTGTGTTTTGCCGAAAACAACCAACCGAGGAAACAACCAACCGACTAATAGTTTATAACCAGTAACCTCTGTAAATAATGAATCATTTTCATTTTGAAAATCTTTAAGACCTCCGAGTTATTTAGTTTTCCCTAAAAGAAGAATCACAAGGTTCATAAAGCTCCATAAACTTTCTTCTTCTTCTTCTTCTTTTACTACTACTGCTATTAATAATAATAATAATAATAATACTAATAATAATAATATTAAATCATTTATTTATTTTGACTTTTAGTTTTATTTTTAATGTTAAATCAAACTAAATAATAATAATA